AAAAAAAAAAAAAAAAAAAAAAAGAAAAGAAAAGATTTTCAGAGCTATTCCTCAAGTTGCCATCTCAGAATAACCAGCTCAAAAACACACCCGACAAGTACATTTTGGGGTGGCATATCCTGGTCTCCCGCCGTCATGCTTTGGGGCGGTGCAACCCGAGCCCCAAGAGAGGCGTTTGTTTCTGTCTGATACAATTAAAAAAAAAAAAATGCTTAAAGACTCCGTTTCTGCTCTTCTCTCTCGGCACCACCACCCTAAAGACCCATCCGCTCGCGCGTTCCCCTTTGTCGCACACGTCGTCCCCCCGCACGCCTGTTAACTGGGCCTCCGCAGCGGCTCCCAGAGACTGGAACTAAGGCTTGGAAAGCACCGCTTCGTCTCCACTAGACCTCGAGCGTCGCCCTCCTCGGAGGCAGCCGCGGGGCCCAGCCTTTCCCGGCGCGCCCTTTCCTTGCCCGACGTCTCTCGAAACGTGCCCCTCCTCTCGGCATTCCCGCCCCTTCAACCAGAGCGGAGATCATGGCCCTCCGCAGATTTCCTGCTCTCACCGGTAGAGGTTTCTTCTTGCTCGCCTCGCGCCCGGCGGCACGAGCCGGCCAGGCCTATCGCCACCAACCCGGTCCCGGTTGCCGCACAGCGGCTCCGCCCCGCTCAACCAGCCGACACCACTTCCGGCCAAGCCATCGGTCCGCCCTGCTCTCCCAGCCGGCACCACTTCCGGCCGAGCCAACGGTCCGTCCCCTTAGAAAGGCCACTTTTCTCCGGGAAAACGGCCGGACAGACGCTCTGCGCATGCGCCCAAACCGCGGGGTTGGAGCGGTGGGGGGGGGCGGATCTCCCGCTTCCCGCTCTCGCCTTCAAAAGTCTCGCGGTAGTTCCGCCTCCCGCGGGAGTTATTTGAACGTTCCCCAAGCCGGTTAGCGGGAGTCTTGAGTCGATTTTGCAAAACGCTCTGCCGAGGGGCGCTCGGGCGAGGCTCGACCCGGCCGAGTACCGCCGCCATGGAAGCGGGAAAGAAGCTGCTGTCGACGAAGGAGGCCTTTCGGCTGGCTCAGAAGCCTCACCAGAACCAGGCGAAGCTGGTGGGGGCGTTGAGCCGCGCCTACGGCCAGGTAAGCGCGGCCCAGCCTCCGCCAGGGGCTTTGCGTGGCCTTTGGACTCCAGCCTTGGTCGCCTTCGCGACCCGCTTCGGAGGGACGTGAGATCCGGAGAGAGACGGCCGGCTGACCCGAGGCCGCCTGGGATCAGAATGGCTTCGAACCCGGGCGGACCATTCGGCGTTGAACTGGGCGAGAGGCCACCCCATCCCCCCTCCCAGGTCACCCTCGCAGCGGCCGTCACTTTAGCCCTCTCAGGGGTCACCAAATACCAAGTTGTACATGAGGACCTATCCCCTCCCGTCCCCTTAAGTTCTGTCCGAGTGGAGCCCTGAAAAAAAGCATAGGGTAGCGAATCTGGGGAAGATCCATGCATCTCGAGGTCCAAAAAGCGTGAGGGCGTGAGATGCGACGTGGAAGTTCTGTCCACAAGAAGCGTCTGTGTGACAGGAAGGCCAAAGTGGGAGAAATAGGCGCGCCAGGGTAGATGTATGTTGACTAAGCTAACACTAGAGGCATCTTGCGAACTCAAGGGTGAAGAAAAGAAGAAAACCAAAGACGTCTTCAGCTGTCAAAATGCAAGCCTGCGTGCCTTCGGGGAAGCGCGTTGTGGCCTGGGGAGAGAAGTTCACGCAGACGTGTTTTCCTTTCGCTGGTTTGGATGATTGAGGGTTTACCCAGTAGAGATTTGGGTGTGTCCAAGGGATGACTGGCACTTGCAGCGGTTTTAGGGTAATGTTGGGATACGGGATGCTTGTCAGTGCAGTCTGCGAAGGGCTCCTTTTGTCTTTCAGGTGGACGATAAAACAGGTTTTCACGAGGAGTTCGTCCATTACCTTAAATTCGCGATGGTGGTGTATAAACGCGAACCAGCCGTGGAGCGGGTGATCGAATTTGCGGCCAAGTTTGTGACTTCATTTCACCAGGGGAAGGTGGAAGATGAGGAGGAGGAACAAGATGGTGGCATTTTAAACTATTTGTTTACTTTTCTCTTACAGGTACTATGAAAGCTAGCACTTTAGGGAAGTGTTGTCCAACATCTTGCCACGCTAAAAGAGCCACGGGAGTTTGTATGCGTTGCACAATTACCTTTCTAGTGATTGAGGAAATGCACATGAGTCTATTTTTTTATAGGAAGTATTAGATCTATTGTTAAGATTAGAAGGTGGACTTCTAAAATAACTCCTGTAGTAAATTTTTAATGATCTCCTTAAAGCAGTTCTCACGTGTTTGATTTAAATTAGTTTTCCATTTTAGAAGTAACTACAACAAGAACTGTGCTCTAGAAACTTGGCAAAGACTTATTTCACACTTTATTTTGAGACTGTAAGATAATGTATCTAGTATACGTATGGATGAAGGTAGCATTAGAGCTTCAAGTAATGAGTTGTAATTTCTTGAATTCTGAACATATAGAATTCAAATAGTATGGATTATTTAGGAATGGTATGTGACTATGAATCCTTTTTTGTTTCTGTTTTAGTCTCATGAAGCAAATAGCAGTGCAGTCAGATTTAGAGTGTGCCAGCTCATAAACAAGCTTTTGGGAAGCATGCCAGAAAATGCCCAGATTGATGATGATATGTTTGATAAAATTAATGAAGCCATGCTTATTAGATTAAAAGATAAGATTCCAAATGTGAGAATACAGGCAGTTCTGGCCCTTTCACGACTTCAGGATCCCAGAGATGATGAATGTCCAGTGGTTAATGGTATGTGTAGCTTCTTAAATTTTTTTCCAGTTTTGTTGATTTTGTTAAATTCTCAGTAGTTTAATCTTTTTATTATGAACTACACATTTGGGAGAGTACAGGTAATGAATATCTGATAAAAATAATAAATAGCAAGTAGCAACCACACGACTTAAAAAAAAAAAATAGAACACCATCAGTACCATTGAAACCTGTTTGCATCCTACCCTATTGCATCTGTCTTCCTCTGTGGTAACTGTTATCCTGAATTTTAGGTAATTATTCTATTACTCTAAAAAAAAATTATTTTTTTGAGTCGGAGTCTCACTCTGTTGCCCAGATTCATACAACAGAATGCCAGAATACTATAAAAACAAAAACAAATGTTTCAACGTAGATGAATGTTACAAATAATCACAAAAATATAGCATGACTTACACAAAATGACAGGAAAACTTAATTCAAAATTTTCACCAACCTGAGCAACATAGCAGGACCTCGTCTCTACAAAAAAAAAAAAAAAAAAAAATGCCCTGGTGTGGTGGCATATGCCTATAGTCCTGGCTACTCAGGTGGCTGAGGAGGGAAAGGGAAGATTGCTTGAGCCCCAAGAATTTGAGTCTGGGTGACAGTCTAACCCCAACTCAAAAAGAGCAACAGAAATTCTAATGTCAAAAGTTTAAATCTGCCCTTATGATTTGAACTTTTTTGTTTCTTATTTAAGAAATCTTTTTCTACCTCTGGGGTCATAGTTATATTTTACTTTTCTATAGATACTGACGTATATGTTGAACATTCTGTTTCATTGCTATCTTTGTCCCCGTTACATGTTGTATAATCACTTTTGGTAACTTTTTGGTGGTTGATACTTTTTGGAATGAAAAGATACACATATTAATACTGTGTAAAACAGGTATTTTGATAGTCAACATGTATTTGATAGTAAAGATGGGGAAGATGTGAAAGTACAGATGAATAAGTATATTTAAACACAAGAAATGAGTTTGTGTCAGTAAGTAAAACCAGAAGTTATTTCTTTTTAGGACTCATTAAAAAAATAACAGGCGCTTACAAAGCCATGGCAGTTTAAAATAAACTGCTTGCTATTCTAAACTTTCTCCTAAGTATTGAGGCCTAGCAAAGACATAATCTTAATGATAGATTGATTCTTCATATCTTTTAGGCCTATTTGTTTTCAATTTTAGTCTTCAGGCCTCGTTCACTGACTAATTCTTTACTGTGTCCTTAGAAGGAAAGTTGGAAAAAACCTTTAGCTAAAATTAAACGTGTAAGACCAAAAAAAAAAAAAAAAAAAATTGGTGTCTATCATATTAAAGACTTTTTAAGATATCAAAATGTGGACTGTTTTATTAAGTATAATCATTTCTTTAGTATTAAAATGGATTGCTTTATTTTTAGCATATGCTACTTTGATTGAAAATGATTCAAATCCAGAAGTTAGGCGGGCAGTGTTATCATGTATTGCACCATCAGCAAAGACTTTGCCAAAAATTGTGGGGCGCACCAGGGATGTGAAAGAGGCTGTCAGAAAGCTGGCTTATCAGGTAAATAAGTCCAATATTTTTTGTAGGTATGTTCTAAAATGACAAGAAGCCATTTTCTTAAAGTACTTTTGGAAAATACTTGGCACATAGTGATGATTTCTTTAATTGAGATTTTTATGGTAAGCATAGGTAATTTAGGTAGAACCTTTTTGTATTAAATGTGTTACCAGATACTATTTTTTGGTGATTCTGGGTAGTTTTCTAAGATGGCACTATTACTATTTATCAGATGTCTGAATTGTGTTGAGTTTAATGACCATCTTTTTATTATTATCTTTTAAAAAAAGGTTTTAGCTGAAAAAGTTCATATGAAAGCTATGTCCATTGCTCAGAGAGTAATGCTCCTTCAACAAGGTCTTAATGACAGATCAGGTAAGAAACCCATCTTTATATGTAAAACTTTCATAAATTTTGAGGTCAGATTTAATATAAGTTTAAGAAACAAGTGTCATGAATTAGATCAAGTAGGCCTGTCATTCCCATGAGCTTTGTGAAAGTATCTAGGTATATTATACAGAAAACATATCCTGAGGTTAAAGGTCTTGGCATTTTGAAGTAGCAGAGCTTTTTTCTTTCAACATTCCTGTTTTTTACAGATAGAGAAGCTATACTTAAATTTACAGAACTAATTCATATCAGAACTACTAGGACAAGATCTCTCTTTTTGCCCATTCCCTTAAAAAAAATTGCTATCCCCTTTATGTATACCTTGATATGAATGTGTTCTGTACATCAGAAACAACAAATTAGGAATTTCCTCGTATTTTTCCCTCTTGCCTATTAAACTAGACTATCTGCTTATAGAAATGATATTTTAAAAATTGCCAACTCCCTTGAGAAGGCTAAGATGGTGCTACTGTGCTGTAGCAAGAAAATCAACTTGCCAGAGGACTAATGACTAGACATGCCTTAAAAGCTAAGAATAAGGTTTGTTCAGTGATGTATGCTTGTATAATTCACTATTGTAAATAGCAATCATGTAATAGATGAAGTTAGGCAACAAGTGAAATAATAGTTATTACATATTCTAGACTAACGCCTGAAGCCAAGTTGAACCCAAAGGAGAAGGAATATTTTTTTGTGTGTGGACTATGGTAGTGTTTGGGTATTTGGTGCAGCACCTTTTCCATTTGTATTTGGAAGTGACTATTACAGTGACTTTTGCAGTATCATTGTACTTGTTTTTCTATAGTATGTTTAATTGTGCTTCTTAATTTCTACCTATTTATATTGTAATTATTGACTTTATGTTAATTAAAACAAATTCCAGGAAATGGAAGCTAGAAGGATCTTTTGTTC